CCCCCCCCCCCATTTCTGTGTGTCTCAAGGACAGAGTCTCACTGTGTAGTTCAGGCTGGCCTCAAACTCACAGCAGTCCTCCTGCCTCAGCCTCCTGAGTGCTGGGATTACAGGCATTTGCCACCAAGCACGTTCTTGCCTGTCAAGAACTCTTGAATGTTAGGAAGAAGCTCCTGCACCCTGGGTCCCAAGCTGTGGAGGGATAGATGTGGCCCTAAGAGGGCTGCCCCAGCACAACTGCCCACCCTCCCCGATAGCTCCGTGACTCAGCTCGGCAACCATGCTAGCTTCAAGCTTGCTGCCAGGCCAAGAGGAAGTGACCTGGACAGGGTAGGGCCCAGAAGTAGGAGGGAGAGTGTCTCCTTTCACTTTTCCTACCATCTGAGGACACACTGGAGAGCTGGAGAGGACAGGCACCAGCCTCTTCCTTGGCCAGAGTGGACAAACTGGCCAAGTCCTGACCTTGCCCTTGTGACTAGGGGGAGGGATGTAACTGAGGTACAGAGAGGTGGTTCTGGGCCTGGGCTGGAAATGGGGATGGTGTAGGCAGGGAGGAGTAGTGTAAGCCCCCAAAGGGCAAGCCCAAGTGGGCCAAGTGGGTGCTGTGAGTCAAGATGGCCCGCAGGGGCCCCTGTTCCCCAAGACAACCATGGCTCCAAAACGAAAATCTTCAGCGAAGACTGAGAACCCTGAGAAGAAGGGGCGACAGGAGCCAGGGGAGGAGGACAACTTCCATTCCACCGCTGAGGCCCTCAGGGCGGCACCTGCAGAGAAGCGCATAATCCGTGTGGACCCCAACTGTCCACTGAGCAGCAATCCTGGCACCCAGGTGAGCCACATCCACGGGTGGGCCAGAGCCTGCTCCCTCCTAAGGACAGATGCTTGAGCCCCAGTTTAGCTCTGGAGCAAGGCCACGTCTCCCTGAGACCACAAAGGTTAGAGCTGTACCCATGAGGCCCAGGTGGGCCAGCCTCGCCCAGCAGACCCCACCACACCTAAAGACAGTCTCTGACTTCCTCAGTGTCCCCTCAAACAAGCCCTCACAGCACAGCCAACTCCCTCTCGGATTCCCCCACACAGGGCACAGCTGCATCTTCCCAGAACCCCTTAGGCTACATCCTCTCAGGCAGAACCATGACCCCACGAGGTGCAGGACAGGGCCCCTTTGATGCTGCAGAGCTCTCAGACTCCCGTCCCCACCAGACCCTTCTCAGCATACAGCCAGGCATCTGTGCCACCACAGCCTGCCCCGCCTCTGCTTCTGCCCAGGTACACGAAAACTATGACTGCACTCTGAACCAGACCAACATCAGGAGCAACAACAACAAGTTCTATGTCATCCAGCTGCTGGAAGATGGCAGCCACTTCTTCTGCTGGAACCGCTGGGGCCGAGTGGTGAGCATCTCAGCCCGTGCTGCTGCCTCTCCTCTTTCTGCTCAGCAGTATTCCCCAGGTTCTCCAAAAGCCACAGCTGCTCACTGTCGCCCCTTCACCTCCGATCGTTCAGGGGCACAGGGCCTGGCCCGATACAGAGACCAGCAAATGTTCATGGGGGTACAACCCTCATGGCTGTCACTTGCAGGGAGAGGTGGGCCAGTCAAAGATGAACCACTTCACCTGCCTGGAAGATGCAAAGAAGGACTTTGAGAAGAAGTTTCACGACAAGACCAAGAACAAATGGGCAGAACGGGAACACTTTGTGGCCCACCCCGGCAAATACACGCTTATTGAAGTGCAGGGAGAGGCCGAGACCCAGGAAGCTGTGATGAAGGTGAAGAGGCTGAAAGGGGCCTGGGCCAAGGGAGGGGACTGGCTGTTGAGACCCAGCAGATGAGACTCTGCCACTGCCCAGCTGTGCAACCTGTCGGGCTTCTCTTGGTCCAGTGCTGTTCTCTGCCCCAAGTGCTGGTGCTCTGCCCAGCTGCTCTGGTCCACATAGCCTTCTCTCCCCAGGTAGATGGAGGCCCTGCAGGGCCTGTGGTTAGGCAGGTGAGGCCCTGCTCTCTGGACCCTGCCACCCAGAAGCTTATCACCAACATCTTCAGCAAGGAGATGTTCAAGAACGCCATGACCCTCATGAATTTGGGTAAGGTAAAGAACTCTGCAGGGTGTAAGAGCCCCAGGGTGGCAGGGATGTATGGCTGAGCCCCTGTTCTGTCCCCGCCCCCAGATGTGAAGAAGATGCCCCTGGGGAAGTTAAGCAAGCAGCAGATCGCACGGGGCTTTCAGGCCTTGGAGGCACTGGAGGGGGCTCTGAAAGCCTCTGCAGATGGAAACCTGAGCCTGGAGGAGCTGTCCTCCCACTTCTACACCGTCATCCCACACAACTTTGGCCGCAGCCGGCCCCCGCCCATCAACTCCCTCGAGCTTCTGCAGGCCAAGAAGGACATGCTGCTGGTGAGGCTGTCAGCAAGGACACCAAACAGACTGGGCAAGAGATGCGAGGGCCAGGTGGCTGGCTGAGAAGACCCAGACGGATGGACTGCCCTGGGTGGGCTGAGGGATGGGGCCAGGATGGACTGGTGGACAACAGGTGGGGTGGCTGTCCCCACCCACGCAGTCCTGTGGGTGGGGAAGGCTGGAGGTCCAGGGGACAGACAAGCTGGCAGTGCCCATCCTCTTAGGTGCTGGCAGACATTGAGCTGGCCCAGACCCTGCAAGCAGCCAGTGGGGCGGAGGAGAGAGTGGAGGAGGTGCCACACCCACTGGACCGAGACTACCAGCTCCTCAAGTGCCAGCTGCAGCTGCTGGATTCTGGAGCACCCGAGTATAAGGTGGGCTGGGCCTTGCAGAGTGCCGGCTCTTTTCCCTCCTGCTTTGAAAGCTTGGGAGGACTCCTGGCCCTTAGCCTCCTCTCCCTGTGTCTGCACAGTCAAAGGAGAGAGCTGTGGGACTAGGGGGACCTGAGGAGATGAGTACACAAGCCCCCAGCTTCTCCTGTTCCGCAGGTGATACAGACCTACTTAGAACAGACAGGCAGCACCTATAGATGCCCGGCTCTGCAGCATGTTTGGAAAGTAAACCGGGAAGGTGAGGTAAGGGAGATTCCCCAGCAGCCCCCACCCACCCGCACACACACATCAGTACCCTGCATCAGTATCCGCATCAGTACCCTGACCCTTAAGAAAATAACCTTGGCCCATCTGCCCCTTGGTGAGCTGGCTTAGCCATTCTGTCCAGTTTTTGGTCATGCTGTCTGCGAGCTTGCCTCTCCTATTCCCCATTCCTCTCCTGCTCAGGGAGACAGGTTCCAGGCCTACTCCAAGCTCAGGAATCGGAGGCTGCTGTGGCATGGTACCAACGTGGCTGTGGTGGCTGCCATCCTCACCAGTGGGCTTCGCATCATGCCACATTCTGGAGGCCGTGTTGGCAAGGGCATCTACTTCGCCTCAGAGAACAGCAAGTCAGCTAACTATGGTGAGGCAGAGATGGAGGTGCCGAGGTGGAATGGGCCAGTGTTGCCCACTGGAAACTTGTGGGGGTCCTGAGGAGGAAACCACAAAGGGCTGCCGACCACAGTGCTTAGGAGGCATGCTTCCGCTGGGAACCTCAGAGGAAGCTCCTGGTGGTCAGGAATGGCCTCCTGGAGGAAGTGAAGAGTGCACCAGCTGCACCTGCAAGGGGTAGATGAATGAGCTTCAAGGTGAGGGGATGGCACACAGGCAAGGAGGTTGTGGCCGGCCAGGACTTTCAAGCAGGTCCAACCGTTGAAACTCACAGCAGCATCTGGCAGGGCTGGGGTCAGGGGATCCAGGATGGTCAAGGGCGCCTTCCCCAGGGAGGATGGATACCAACTGGACGTGGACCTAGCAGGATCTCAGTGGCTGCAGCTCTGGATAAGTTGGCCGAGGCTGGAAGCTGCAGAGAAGCCAGGCTACTACTCAAGCCCATGGCTGTGGAGTGGGAAGGAAAAGAATTCACGACAGGGGCGTGTGGGAGGTGGGCAGCAAGTAGGAGAGGGTCAAAGGTGTGTCCAGGGACTCCCAAGTTGTAGCCAGGGTACCTGAGTGAAGAGACCTCCCCAGCTCGGCCCTCCTCGCCTAGGCTGACCATATCAATGGAGGCTACCACCAACCCACATATCTAAAAGAACGTGCCCACAGATTCCTCCAAGGACAGACGGGGCTGGAATTCTGGGGTCACCCAAGACCAGGGAAGGAAGAGGAGTCTAAGAAAGAAAGGCTAGGGCGGGCCTCAGGATATCCCTAAGGATACCAGGAGTAAACTCAGCAGGCCCCTCCTCAGGTCTGCTCACCAGGAAGCCATTGCTGACAGTAAGGGTGGCAGAGGATGCAGAGCCAGGGGTTGGGGTGGGGTAGTTGAGACCACAGGATCTAGGTCAAATTGGGCACTTTCCTGAGGCCGGGCAGCAGAGCCAGCAGGGATAGCATTGCTACTGTGACAGTCCTTATCAGGCAGAGGTCTGAGCTGCCTGCCCTACTGAGACCCCGTGTCTTCCAGTTACTGCCATGCGCTGTGGGAACCACCAGGTGGGTTACATGTTCCTGGGCGAGGTGGCCCTGGGGAAAGAACACCACATCACCATGGATGACCCCAGCTTGAAGTGCCCACCCTTTGGCTTCGACAGTGTCATTGCACGAGGACACACAGAGCCTGGTGAGCCCTGGGAAGCTGCACCGGTCTGATAGAGGGAAGGGGGCGATGAGGTAGGGGAGTAGGTCATTTTCAGGGAGGAGGTGAGCAAAGGGGACAATGGAAAAGGACAAAAGAAGGAGCCTTTTTCACTGCAGGCTTTCCCTCTGTCATCCATCAAACATCCACTCCTAATCATCAGAGAGGCCTGAAAAGTGGTGTCACTGACTGAGCACTGACGTATGACTAGGAGTTTCCCAGAGACGAACATGGGAGGAGGTTCAGACAGAAAGTCCAGCCGTGGCACGACTTGGGTGGCAAGGTAGAAAAGAGCAGGCCTTCGCTGTGACAGAAGAGGAGAGTGTGGGGGCAGGACAGAATGGGAAGGCCAGGGACCAGGGACCCCCGGGCCACCCTTAGCCTTTGTTGTGCCTTGCAGATCCTACCCAGGACATTGAGCTGGAGCTGGATGGCCAGCGAGTGGCGGTGCCCCAGGGCCAGCCCATTCCATGCTCAGAATTCAGCAGCTCCCACTTCTCACAGAGTGAGTACCTCATCTATCAGGAGAGCCAGTGTCGCCTACGCTACCTGCTGGAGATTCACCTCTGAGCCGCTATCCTCCTCCGGGTCCTGTGAGGGGCTGGACCAGGATCATTACTCATCCTCACTCTCTCTTACCCCAAATTACCCCTCCTTTCTTCCCCAAGAATATATCTATGCCTGGTGTATAGGAACATCTCTGTAATCCCAGTATTGAGTAGGCTAGGGAAGGAAGATCACTTGGGCCCAGGAGTTAAGGCAAGCCTGGGCAACATAGTGAAAACTGTAGCAAAAAAAAAAAAAAAAAAAAAAAAAAAAAA